CGAGAACAGGGAGATGAGAAATGAAACGAATCGAGTCGAGAGCCAAGTGGACATTTTCTTATTCAAACTCGAGCTCGGTTTGCAGTTCGAATCTCAACCCAGAAAGGCACAAAACCCATAAGAGTGAGTGTGAGATTGTCCTACTGACTTGGGAGCTCGGCTTGGGCTTTTGAGTTCTCAAGACTTCCCCAAATGCAGGAACGTGCAAAAGATATCAATCAAAGTAAATCACTCAGATGTAGCTCGTGAAGGTGCCAGATCCGACGACGAGAAACCCAGACCCAGCTCCATCTGGAATTCCAATTACTCTAATTCGGTCGTTAGCGGTGCTCAGAACGAATCACGTCGAGTTCGAACGACTCCGTCTAGATCGCGTCTGTGACCTTTGGAAGCTTCGTATTCCTCTCACGTCTCGTCATCAAGTGCTTGTCTGGGCAAAAATCTATTGATCCAGGAAGAAGCGACTCGGTTGGGCGGGCTTTGGGAACGCTTGGGATCGACCGTCCTGATCGACCCGCTGGGCCGAGTTTGGTGAGACCTTCGGCCATTATTGATGATGGGCTTTGAGAAAAGAATGGCCGCTCGCGGCGCTCGTCGTATTCGCAGTGGCAAATGCGTGAATCCTCCCTGTCGGTGCTGCGGCGTCCCTTTCTGTTTTCGCCGTTCCCCGCGAGGCGCACGCGCCGAGAAAAACGCGCCTTCCTCGAAATCGCCAGATGGGAAATGAGCAGGGGATCGTGCCCGAAGATTTACAAGCATCGATCGATCCCCTCTTAATCTGAAGCCGTGTGCCGTCTTCGGCACGGACTCAGTAGCTCGATGTCTGTGCATCCTCGAGGGAAAATGAGTCACGTGGGTGACGAATGATAAAAGTGGAAGACGATAATATTTGCGCCGATGCGTCGTTAAAAAAAAATTATAGAGAGCTCTACTTGTTAAGTATACTTGATAATTCAATGTATCGATTGTACATAATTAGAGGAAGGCGGTGCATTCGAAGTTACTGTTTTTTTTCTTAATTTGGGGGTTAAACAAGTGCCTTGGACACTCGTTAAAGAAAATCCATTTGAGATGTTTTCATATCATGGGATTTTAGAGTAATCAAATACAAATCAATTTTCCCTTGCAGATTTGGATCTTTAGATGCATTCCGACCGACAGATGTCCCGCGTGTTTCTCGTTTTGGATTATTGATTGTGCTCGGTTGTGACGCGTGGAGCTAATTCACAGATATCATCCTTGGAAGTGCTAAGAAACATATTGCATGTCGCGGGCGTGATGTAGATTGCAAGTTTGTTCTCTTATGAGTACTTCCTCGATGTCATGGAAAATTCGTTTCTTTCGCTATACTCTACTGAAGAATCCCTCCTGTTTAGTAGTAAAATTTGTGAAAAAAGAGCACGCCCGAGAAATCAATGAAAATTCTGACTTCGTAAGCGAATCGATTAGTGACCAAAGTAGAGCATACTTCATTTAAGTGATGTGGCAAAGGACTAACCCGAGCAATGACATATTAACTATGTGTCCCATTTGCCGACATGGCGATGACGTGGAAGTAGCTTAGACTTGACAAAACAATAACACAAAAACCACAGTCCGCAGAGGAATCCCAAAGCAGTTGGGCCATGTGAGCGAGGGCACATAGAAAATGTATTCAATAGACAAATGGCTATTGAAATGGAGTTCCACTGTCCCATTATACGCACTCTTATATAGGTATCCAAACTATTTCAATCGCTGAATGATGTGTATGCAATCTGTTGTTTAAAATTTACAGTCGAATACATAGATAATCGAATTATTAGGATGCCGGTCCGAACATAATATGAAATACAAGATCAATGTTGTAATCAGCGCGCCACTAAACTCGTAAAGTACGGTGCCAAAAGCGTCATATCTTAGAAACTGTGAAATCAAAGTTAAAAATCTCGCAATTTTCTACACGACACAATAAATTGACTTTCACTTCTGCGGAGTCTGGGCCAATCACGACAAAAGCGTTTCAATTCTAATTTACCCAAGAAAAAACAATCGCGTCCGCGAAAATGTTCAGACACACGCGACATTAGTCTCGACCGAAACACGCTTTCCTTGCTCAGCACTTCACGATCCGATGCTGTTGGGCTGTCGATTCGTGCTTTGTCTTATTCTGACGTTACTTAAGCTTACATCCCACGAAGGAATGTCTCTCCTTTTTTATGGCTTCCCAAATCCCCCCCCACTTAGCGAAAAGGCGATCGCATGAAAGGCTTGGATTGACACCTTCGATTCGGTTCTGTAATCAGATGGCGATTTACGGAAAAGGGACAGAGACGTTCCTTTACCTTCCCGAGGAGGCGCGTGAGATTCCTTTTCGGGGATCGGCGCGCGTGGGTCAGAAACGAGCGGTGCTGCGCACTGCGCAGAATTTCCGGTTTCAGAAGGGAGAAAGGAAAAGAAAAATAAATGGGACCCACGCGGGGCATCATGAGCGCGGACAGCTCACTGCTAGAAAGCCAATCACATGACCCGTTTCTCTCACGGAACGCGGATACCTTTTTTTGGGTTTCGACGAGTGCTTGTCGTGCAATGGAACGACCACGCCCCGCTGGTCGCTGCTTCTTACGGAAATTCTCCACGAGTTTTAATAGTCAAAATCGAACCTGGCTAATTCACAAAAGAGAAGAAGTTACTGTGCTAGTTTCGTCGTGTTGCCCCGACTAATGTGGCACGTTTATAAGGTTGGAATCCACGAACGTTCGATACGCGCTCAAGGAAGCATGCCGTGCATTGAGTTCTTGATCTTGAATTTCTGATTGCCTATTATTTCGAGAAGAAACATATTAAATAGTGTCCTTTGTGCACTTGCTAGAAATTATTTTATATTCGTTCGAAATTTAAAATTATTTATTTAGGCTAGGTGAATTTCTTAATTTGTGGGGCTGTTCTATAATTAAAAGTGTCCCGAAAGTCCTTATTTCCACTTTTAGCTAACTTCGCTAATGCCTTAGGAGAACTTGTTAATAAGACCCTTTTTACCAAGATGCTAATTCTATTAATGTCATATTGGTTGTTTTTATTTGATTTATATTTTGAAAGAATGAGGTCTTAGATAAACACATTTTAATCAACACTCGATAAAAAAAAAATCGCCTTGCAAAAACGTCTAGTGTACCTAGCAATGTAATTTTGTTCTGACAACGAAAAGAAAATCGTGGAATGAAGCTAAGAGTGAGCATCGGCATAGGGTTAACCTTAGATCAGCCAAATCCAACCGGTCCTGGCTTTGTTCCCAAGGGGAGTTGACCCATTTCCTAGTACCAAGATCCCTTGAACCGACATTATGAGGGTTGGTCCTTGGTCTCGGGGTTAGGATTGGTCCAGTCAGACCAACCCTGTATATATATTTTGTCCAAACCCTAGGCCCCTCCTCTTCTAGACTGTTGATTTATAGTGATAACAGAGATGGTGACTTTGTATAGAATAATCAGTGGGGCTTTTTTTTTTTTTCGGGAGTCAAAGAATCGGTGGGACTTAACGGCGATGGTAACGGACATTGTCTTTGTGCTTTTCTTTCTTGGTGCTTGGGGTAAGAATAAAGATGACGAAGAAGTTTACGAGGGGGTTTCGTTAAGGATGAGATTGCCCTTCGATGGGATGGATGCAAATAATAATATGATGAAAATGGCAAAATATTTGGGCCGTTCAGGAAACACTCTTGCCACTCTTCTCTAGAAATTTCGCCTTTTCTTGCTCAATGCTCACCTCACAATCACAGCACAGCTCAGCTCGTGACATCGCTTGCCTCTCTTGGCTCGCCTCACGAACGCAGCTTGCTTACCTCTCTTCCCTCACCCCACGAACGAAGCTCAGTTGCCAAGTTCCAAATTAATGCTTGATTTGAGAGCTTCAAGCTCGTGTGAGTTCTCGATTTATGTTGGGCATTTATTTTTTTAAATTGGCTTCCCGATTTATGTTTGATCTAAGAGCTTCAAGCTCATGTGATTTCTCGATAAATGTTGGGTATTTATCAGAGGTGTACAAAGAAATCGGGAATCGCCTAAAACCAAATTGGACCGGCGGTTCCCGGTTTTCATTTACTAGAATCGGTGAGTACCGATCAAGTTTCCAGTTTCAAGTATGGAACTGTTTGCCCGTTCACCTGGAACGGTATATAAATATTATATGCCTTTTGCCATTTACCCTACATTTTTACTCATGTCTCGCGATCCTCAAAATAAAAACAAGAAGAAGAAACGCTAGTCTCATCTAACTCTCTCAGCGAGAGTCTCACTCGGCCACGCCTTCAACTCTGTTGGTGCATCTTAGACTCGCAATTGCCTTGTGCCTCGCCTCCGACCCTCCCTCACATCTCGTCTCGTTTGGTTGTGAATCTGTAGGGATTAGGGACCGGTTCCATGAACCCATTTGGAAACCAAACCGGACCAACAGTTTGACTTTCGGGTGGATCCATGGAGCCAACCTTTGATTATCGGTTTCAAGTTTTCGGAAAATGATCCTTAATGAGCGGTTCTCGGTTTCATGGTGAAACCGCCCACTCGGATCATACTTACCCCTAATATTTATTTTTTTCCTTAGGCTTCATGATTTGTGTTTGATTTGAGAGCTTTAATCTTATTATAAAAATCTCTTTCTCGGTGATGAAACAAAAAAAGAATCTATCTAGAATCGGACTGGACCGTCAGTCCCCGGTTTTAGGCTCAACATGATCGATCCCTGATCGCGAAATTTGAAAATCAACATCGTGCAAGTTGGTCCTTGATCAGGCGCTCATCGACCATGCTCACCCCTGGAATGAACAGTCCAAAGCCGGAAAGCCTATATGCTGACGTGGAGCAATGATGCGGCGAGTAGCTCCCACTCCCCATCATCCTTTCCACACCTCTCTCTCTCTCTCTCTAGCATCTCATTAGACACCCGGATCCATTGATTTCCCACCCAATCCAACTTAATTTGTTTCCCCCTCTCTCTCTCTGCGAAACGATAAATAGCACATGAAAAGAGCCGCGTCGGTCCTCACCCTCCATTACCATCATCATCAACGCTTCCCCCCATTTCTGCATTCCTAGATTCTCTAGAGAGAGAGAGGGAGAGAAGAGAGAGGAGAGAGAGAGAGAGAGCAGCGGCAATGGCGAGAGTAGATCTGGACGGCCGGCCGATCGCGCCGCTGACCATATGCATGATCGGCGCCGGGGGCTTCATCGGTTCCCATCTGTGCGAGAAGCTGATGGCGGAGACGCCGCACAAGGTGCTCGCCCTCGACGTCTACGGCGACAAGATCAGGCACCTCCTCGAGCCGGAATCCCTCCCCTGGGCCGGCCGCATCCAGTTCCACCGCATCAACATCAAGCACGACTCCCGCCTCGAAGGCCTCATCAAAATGGCAGATCTGGTACCCTCTCTCTCTCTCTCTCTCGCTCTCGCTCGCGTGATTCCGCTGGTTACGGTTCTTCATCGATGTACGCGAGCTAGCTCGTGCTCGTGAACTGCGATTTGTCTGCTAAGCAGTGCTGCTCTCTCCGAGTTCTCTGAAAACGAGCGGTTCATCATCAGTCGTGTTTTGGATACCGCGGTTGATGGATTGAGCGTTGTGATTCTGCTCTTAGTCTTAGTTGATCGGTTGTCCGTGCCTTGAGCAGGCTTACGAGTGGTTTCGTTACCTTTTATTGTGCTTGACGCTGATTTCCGTTGTCCCTTGCTTCCAGACGATCAACCTCGCCGCGATCTGTACTCCCGCCGATTACAACACTCGGCCTCTCGACACGATCTACAGTAACTTCATCGACGCGCTGCCTGTGGTATGGCATTTCGGTTTCCATAGAATGTGCACTCTCAAAGCATGATTTCGGAGATCTATAGTTTTGGTGGTGCAATGGAGACTTCGAATGTTTTTTTTATAGGAATTCATTGAAGTTGATGTCTGATTCTGCTGTCGATTTTAGGTCAAGTACTGTTCGGAGAACAACAAGCGACTCATTCACTTTTCGACCTGTGAAGTGTATGGGAAAACGATTGGTAGCTTCCTTCCCAAAGATAGCCCACTTCGTGAGGTGTGATTTCCCTTTCTTAATGTGTTTTTGTGCTAATGCACTGTTATTAAGCTCTATGTTTATATCTTGCTTTTCTAGCTGTGCGTTAGCATTTGTATGGTCTTAACTTTTCCAGAGACTGGATTACTTTAAGCTCTTTTTGAATGATTACGGATCTGTTGATTGGTCTTATCCTATTATATCCTGGCCCAAATGTTGAAAGAGATTTGTACACTGAATTTCCCATAGTGGATATGGGATTAGAGAATGTGCAGTAGTGCAGAAAGTATTTGTAAGCACTTATAAGGGGGAGAAGTCTTGGAAGTTGTTGCTATTGGTATTTTTAAATCTGAAGTCTCCATCATTTATACTCCTACTGTTTTCAAAATAGTTTTTGTGTCCAACAACTTAAGAGTAGATGTTGCATGTTTGGTTTTCTCCTGATGCATAATTAACCGTACTCAATTCATTATCAATATCACCAGTGTAGAAACTTACTGCATGTAATTGGCTGAATGGGTGTTTTTAGGATACTCGATAGCAATATTCATATTTCATTTGTAAGGTGATTGGAATCTAGGTGGTCTATCTGGATGCTTCTAAATTGAGGGCATTCAATAGGAAGTTCGAGCAAAGAACTCATTGCTACACCGAGATCCAAGATCAACTCTTTCTTTTATGTGATGCTATTGTATTCATAATGCATATTGTGCATTTAAATTTTGGTGGGCTTCCTTGGCTCATTGATGATTGATCCTTTGGCACTTGATGGCCGTTTTGAGGGAGGTACAGATCGATTTTATGGAAGTAGGTCCAGTCAGTTATTGCGAACAGGGCACGTAACTAGCTGTTTTCTGGCTAATAAGAAAAGACTGTTTGCATCATGGTGTCATTTTTCGCATGCAAGATTGTTAAACAAAATCTGAATTAGTATACATTGTCTGCTTTACAGGACCCTGCATATTATGTTCTCAAGGAAGATGCTTCCCCCTGCATTTTTGGCCCAATTGAAAAGCAGAGGTGGTCCTATGCATGTGCAAAACAATTGATTGAGAGGTTGATTTATGGTGAGCGATTGTTCATTGAATTGCAAATTTTTACTTTTTTCTTTCATATGCTTACTTTCGTCTCCATGCACAGCCGAAGGAGCAGAAAATGGTCTTGAGTTCACTATAGTGAGGCCTTTTAACTGGATAGGACCCAGGATGGATTTTATACCTGGCATTGATGGTCCAAGTGAGGGTGTACCCAGGGTTTTGGCATGCTTTAGTAATGTAACTCCTTTTTCCATTATGGGAATCCATTCATTTTGAATTTTGCTCCATATATCTTCTGGCATCTTTAGTAATATGCATTTTCGTTCTCCCTTTCTGCAGGCTCTACTACGTCATGAGCAACTCAAACTTGTAGATGGTGGCCAGTCACAGAGAACTTTTATTTACATAAAGGATGCCATTGAAGCTGTTCTTCTTACGATCGTGGGTTAAACTTTCCCCTTTTTCGTTTGAAGGTTTCTATTGTTATTTAGATTTGACAGCTGACAGTGCAGTAACTTCTCAGGAAAACCCGGAGAGGGCTAATGGGCACATTTTTAATGTGGGTAACCCGAACAACGAAGTAACAGTTAGGCAGCTTGCTGAAATGATGACTCAGGTGAAGGATGTTGCACTTTGCTCCTTCATTGTAAATTAAATCACGCATATAAAGCTTCCATGTCCAATGATATAACTGTTATTTATGCATTATGCAGATCTACTCAAAGGTCAGTGGGGAGGCAGCTTTGGATGTACCTACCATTGACGTTAGTTCCAAAGAGTTTTACGGCGAGGGTTATGACGATAGTGACAAGAGAATCCCGGACATGACCATCATTAATAGGCAATTGGGTACGCTGGTTCTTTATTGTTCTGGTTTACCTGCCTTTTTTTTTATTTAGCTCTGAAATAAATTACCATGCTTGCAGGTTGGAATCCGAAAACATCCCTCTGGGACTTGCTAGAAGCCACGCTTACTTATCAACACAGGACATACGCTGAGGCCATCAAAAAGGCCATGTCAAGGCCAGTTGCGTCCAGCTGATTTAGTCGAAAAACTGGGTTCTCGTGTTGGATGCTGGCTGTTGCAGGCGTTTCAATTCTTTGTAAGGTTTTAGTTTGTCCAAATGGGTTGGTTTTTGTATACGTTGGTTTTTCTCTCTCCCATATCGGTAGTCAAGTGCTCGGGGAATGTTGTCTCTGCAAAATCTAGTAGACATTCGAGGGATCTGTATCTTAGCGATGTAATTCGTAAGTCAATCTTAAGCTACAGTTGGGATGCAGAGCATGCAACGAAAGCAATCTGCTCCGGGGGTTTGATTGCCGTGCCCCTATTTTAATTTATTTTTTCCCAAGGGCATTCTATATAACTTTGTTTAAGCTGTATTCTCGTTCTTTCTCCTCCATTGATTGATCATTCTAGTGCAATCACGTTAAGCATACGGAGCACATGTTTGGCATTCCTGTAGTAAGCGCTTGGGAAAGCAGAAACCATTAATTTGAAGGTTATATTCACAAGGTGAAGGTAGGTTTGCTGAACTGGCATCTGTAATCTGCGTATATGCAGTCTTTTCTTTTGGGCACGCTCTAGTCCCGTCTCCAGCCATTGAAAGAACACATCATATGCGGGACTGTATTGGGTCTTCTGTGGGCGTGGTGTGAGATGCATCGCTGGTCAAATTTCCCTATTTCGTTCTGTTGGCATCATCCGCATCTTTTGATTCTTTGTGTGTCGCGATGCTTCTCTGATTTAATGTGCTGTGTCGGTAACGACGCTGCCGCGCCTGCCAATTCGCACGAACTCGTTGGATGGGCCTTCGCTTTCGTGCTCCATTAGCGTTGATGCAGGCAGTCCATGCCCCTAAACTCCCTTCCGTACTCCATCATCGTTGATGCAGCAATCCATGCCCCTAAACTCCCTTCAATTTGGGAAGGCACTGCACTTGTTACGTCGCGGCCGGAGAAACTATACAATTTGATGATCAATCGTACTGTAATCTATTATCATATTTGATTTCATATAGTTTAAGTTGGAGCGAATAAGTTTTTTACTTATATATACTCATCACATGACACTTCATTTTATCTATATACTCGTCACGTAGCAAGTTTTCTTGGCAATTTTTCTTAATTTGGATAAGGCGGGACCTTTTGTAAAACTCCGGATCTACACTGTGCAATATTGTTTGCTTTTATCTTGGGTACAGGTGCGAACGCATCGCCATCCCTCTCAAGGTTTTGTTTTCATCACAACGGAAGCTTATGTGAAACGCGTTACATAGATATAAAATCCCAAGCCTTATAAGCTAGTCCAGGACTCCCCCTCTAAGCGATGTGGGACAAGAGAGGCTCCCCCTCCCTTCCCTACGCACGTCCGAGGACCGAGACGCGGACGCACCGCCATCCCTCCTCCCCGCGCTCCGCCGCTTGGCTTGGGCCGTCACACCTTTTGTTGCTGAAGCTTATGAACAACCTTTGATGATTATCGACCCCTTCATCCCACACGCTTCGATCACTGACTTTCAATGTCAACAAATTAAATAAAGATCGTTTCTGAATATTGTCTTTTAAGTGGGAGCGAATGGTTATACATTTCCAATAATGTACATGGCGAAAGCTTTTGAGCATAGTATCTTAACTATATTTTTCATAGTGACAGCCTTTTCTTTTATCTCACACCACAGAAAAAAGGTCCAATTAAAAAAAAAACCCTCAACTTTACACTTTGTCCCAAATATACCCTGAACTCTTTTTTGTCTCAAGAAAAACCACAAACTTTTATCTAAGTCCCAAATCGCCCTCTAGTTAAAATCCGTCGAAAAAAAAAAAAAAAAAGAGAAGGCAGGCGGTGTGGCGGTGTGCCAAGCCTTGCCGGTGGGCTGCCCATGCAGCCGTCGGGAAGGAGCGGCGGCCCACGCCTGGGCCTTCCGAAGGCCGGCGACCCTCGCCGGCCCGGGCGACGGCCGCTGCCCCGATCGGGGCGGGGTCGCGCCCTCCCCAGATCGGGGCTGCGTGCCCTCGCCGGTGGCTCGCCGGGTGGCGACCCCGCCGGCCTTTGAGAAGGCCCGGCCGATGGCGGCGACCCTCGCCGCCCGGGCGAGCCGCCGGGCGAGGGCGCGGCCCCGTCTGGGGCGAGGTCGCGCCTCCCCCGAGATCGGAGGCTGCGCGCCCTCGCCGGCCGGCTCGCCGAGGGCGACCCCGCCGGCCCTCACAGGCCTTCCCGAAGGCCGGCGACCCTCGCCGGCCCCGCGAGAGCGCGCTGACCCCCGTCTGGGGGAGGCGCGACCCTCGCCCGAGATCGGGGCGCGCGCCCTCGCCGGCGGCTCGCCGGGGCCGGCGAGGGTCGCCGGCCTTCGGGAAGGCCCAGGCGTGGGCCACCGCTCCTTCCCGACGGCTGTGGCGGCGGCCACCGGCGAAGGCTTGGCTACCGCCGCAGCTGCCGGTTCTCTGTTTTTTTTTTTTTTTACGGATTTGGACGGATTTTTAACGGGAGGGCATATTTGGGACTTAGATAAAAGTTTGTGGTTTTTCTTGAGACAAAAAAAAATTCAGGGTATATTTGGGACAAAGTGTAAAGTTGAGGGTTTTTATTGGAATTGGGCCACAGAAGAAATTTAACGAGATAAAGAAATAAGATCCTCAATAGGACGATAGAATTGTTTATTGTTATAATAAATAAATATATATCTACTCTATGTATGCGCGCTAAAAGCAACAACGTCGCTTTGGCCGAGTGGTTAAGGCGTGTGCCTGCTAAGTACATGGGGTTTCCCCGCGAGAGTTCGAATCTCTCAGGCGACGTGTCGTTTTGATTTTTCCCTATTCTTCTTCTTTTTTTTCCCCCTTTTTCTATTGTTTTGTCTTTTTTTGGGGGCATTTCTCTCGACGGAATCCAAAACTAGAACCTCTCTGGATTCTCTCTGGTGTATGTAAATGTAATGTAGAAGTTCTTGCGATTGCATCGCGATTCAGGCACGCTCTCGAAGGATCATTCCCTCCGATTCCGATTCGCATCGTCGACCATGTCCGCCGCGAGCTCGCTCGATCTGCAGCCGTCTCGTTTCTCGGCTCCGGCGAGCAAAGCCAACGGCGCGACGCTCGAATTGAGGATCGCCTGCTGCTCCATCAAGAACCCTAGCTACGGAGCCCCGTCCGCCGCATTGTCGCTGCGCCGGTCTTCGGCAGGGGACGGGCCGGCTTTCTCCATCGTCAGATGCTCGAGCTCGGAGCCCGCCTCGATGGGGACTACTACTCAGGCGATCCCCGGCGTTTTGGAGAGCGGAGCTGAACCGACGATTGGTGGCGGCGGCGGCGGGGGCGGCGGCGGCGAAGAAGGGCCCCGGGGAGGTGGCGGAGGTGGAGGCGACCACGGTGGAGGTGGTGGCGGCGGCGGCGATGGAGAGGAAGAAGAGTTCGGTCCGATATTGAAGTACGAAGACGTAGTGAGAGAGACGGAAGCGCGAGGCGCAAAGCTTCCTGCCGACATGTTGGAGGCCGCCAAGAGTACGGGGCTTCGCGAGCTTATTCTTCAACGATATCTGGATTTGCAGGTTCTTTCGCCGTTTCAAATTAGTGAATGGATCTCAACTTGTCGTTTCCATGCTGTTGGTTCTTCGAGAATATCATCGCTTCACTTGTGTTTCTATTATCAAACAAAAGTTGCGGGAACTTGTGAGTAGATATTTTGAGATATTACTAGAGGGAGAGCCAAAATGGGAATCGGAAGGTGAAATGTGTGTTTTAGGAGCATAAGGTTTTTCTTTTCTGGGCACTGCAAGGACAGTTACCATCAAACTTTTCACCTTGTTGTATATAAAGATTAGCCTTGCAAGGTTGCCGAGGGGATTGGTCATGTTTAAATGTCCAGTAGTCGAGTTGAATCTATATCTCTCTGGTGCATTTTCTGTGTTGAAGTTATTTTTTCTGGTGCTTATACTCAAATTATACTTGCAGGGGTCATATTGGCCACTGGGCTTTCTAATGAACCACTGCTCAATGCTTCGGAACAGGATGTTGGCTGATCCTTCTTTTCTTTTCAAAGTTGGGACTGAGGTACATTGATGTTCTGTTTCGGTAGGTGGGTTTGGTATTATGTGATGTTATCACGTGTTCATTGAGGACACTTGACACCGATAGAGAGACTGAAACTGCTTATTGCTTGACCTTCCAGTTGGATTTTGTGCAGTCTAAAAATCTGTCATGTAGTTGTGTACTAAGCTCCTTTTGTTGTCTTGCATGGTGCAGATAGTCATCGATTCCTGCTGTGCAACTTTCGCTGAAGTTCAGAAGAGGGGCAAGGATTTTTGGTCAGAGTTTGAGTTATACATGGCTGATTTGTTGGTTGGTGTGGTGGTAGACATTGCTTTAGTTGGTTTGTTAGCACCATATGTTCGTATAGGGCAGAAGTCTACGTCGAGAAGTATGTTTGGACGCATTCAACATGCTTGCGGTTCTCTTCCCAGCAGGTTTAGCTTCCCTTCCACAATCTTCTTGTCATTTGAAACTTTAAGTAGTGGATGATGAGTTACGAGATTTAGCTGTTGACATCGTGTAAATCACTATTCTATTTTTGTTTTGGTAAGGATAAATCACTATTCTATTTGTTTCCTGCAATTGTTGAAAGTCGATGATTTGATGAAAACACCTAGAATTAATTTAATTACTTTGAAGAACAACCCTAGCTAGTCAGTTAACTTCTTTTGACTGAGTAGTTAAAGGCTCAATACCGCTATTCTCTGCCTGATAAATGTCAGTGGTAGGAGTAATGTGGCCCCTGGTTACTTTTTTTCCTTTTTTTTGAAGCTGTACCGGCATGTTGTTCAGGTTTTGATTTGGTCGTTGTGTGTTTGATACGCCACAATTAGTGAAAATGGTTTTTGTCTGTAAATGGAAGATATATGTTATCTCATTTCCTGTTGAGCTCTTGATAATTATAGTTACATATCCTTTGATCTGTGCAGTGTTTTTGAAGCTGAAAGGCCTGGTTGTAGGTTCTCTATTAGGCAGCGGATTGCTACATATTTCTACAAGGTATCAACCATAGCTAGATTTGTTATGTAGCTCAAAGGACATTTCTTTAAATATTTTGGAGGTGGGAATTAGATTGTTGGTTGAATTTTGTGGTTTCCAAGCTTCTTTCCATTTCCCTTTCCTATGCTCAATATGTGTTCGGGATTTTGCTAGTTGTGTTTCTATTTGTAAACTTTAATTGTTTGGTTGGCTGAGTGGTTCATTTTGGATCCAGGGTGTATTGTATGGATCCGTGGGATTTGGATGTGGTCTTATAGGTCAAGGAATAGCAAATTCGATCATGACTGTTAAAAGGTAGACAACAAATCCTACTATCCACCTGCATTATTTTGCAGATCTTGATAATCTTTTCACTGTTACGGAGTGTGATGTGGAACTTCTGGCATTTGTGACTTTACTCTTTTTTTTTCCATTTTTTATTATCCGGCAAAGCACTTTAAGCATTTTTATATATGCACAAAAATGATTTCGTGGAAAATGGTTGGTAACGGCTTTTCTCTCCAAACATGTGATGTTGGGATTACAGAAATAGCTTGTGCTGCTCTGGTACATAGCTCCCTGTCTCTCTAACACCCAGATCCGCACTCCCTGCACACATACATGAACAAAGCACATGGACCTCGGTCATAATAGTCGTAGAGCTGTCATGGATTTTCTTTTGCCATTACCTCTTCACTAGGTGACTGATCTTATGAGTGCATTGTTATCTTCAGGAACATTAAGAAATCAGAGGAGGATATACCTGTGCCACCTCTTATACAAAGTGCCGCACTTTGGGGTAAGTTCAATCGACAGTTTTTAGGTATCTGTTCAAGTTATTATAGAGAGATCATTGCCTGGAAAATTAATTTCTTAATATTTGAGTAGCTGATGTTTCGTTCTTTTCTGCTTAACCTTTCTTTTTCTTTTTATCTGCCGACATGTTGTGCATTTTAAGGTCGTTGCCGGTGGTTAGAGTAAAAAATCCGACACTTTGGCTCTAGCGGGCTAGATTCTTGTTTGCATATTATTGGTCGTTCTTTATATGCCGTCTTATAAGAGCTGGAGAGGAAGCAGCGAGAGCTTTTCTGCACTAGAAATTCAACTGTAGTGCTTTGCATGTACAGCTAGACATCCATTTGAAATTGCATGATTCTGTTCTGTGTGATGACTTTGCTTCTCTCTCAGGTGTTTTCCTCGCGGTATCTTCCAACACTCGTTATCAAATTATAAATGGCCTAGAGCGCTTGGTTGAAGCATCACCTTTGGCGAAGAATGTCCCACCTGTCGCAATGGCTTTCACTGTCGGTGTGCGGTTTGCCAACAATATCTACGGTGGGATGCAATTTGTAGATTGGGCTAAATGGAGTGGGGTTCAGTAGCAGATGCTTGCGCGTAAATTATATTATCCCATGTATACCATTTGTCATTCTTTGAAACGGGGACAGAATTTCTTTGTTTGGCAAACTGTCGGTTACATCGGTAAGAACAGTATGATTTTCAGGTTTTATAATGATTTCCATACGGTGGCGTGTTTCTGCTCTTTTCTATTTGGCTACGTGAGGTGGAGAAGTAAATGGTGAGACGTGAAGATAGGTCTCGTCTAGAATACTGGACAGAGTCCCTCTCTGAGCTCACTTGCTCGAGTCGTACTTTTCCTCCGAACACAGCTCAGACTTCACGGATTACAACTCTTGGTGAGGATTTTATTTGTTTTTCTTTTCTGGGTGGTCGCTCTCTTACTTAATTGGCACAGATTTGTTGTTGTTCTTCACTCTCTGTATATTGCTACTTGGCATCACTTCTTGTTTGGTTTGCTGGATTCTGTCGGTCTAATTTCTTTCTCCTCTTGTTAGATGGTAGGAATCGCTTAATCTTATCATAACTTCTCCGACTGGTGGACCTGTTCTTCGCCATTCTCATTGCCCAATCCGATACATTGACTTGATCGGGTCCGGATAGAGTTTGCTCGTCTCATTTCTGCCGATTTCTTGAATTCCTTCTCTCTTTCTCTTTTGGTCATCTTCTGGAATGAAGGATAGATGTCTGCCCTAGTCTGAAGTAGATTACCACTGTTTAGAGTATTCCCGTGGACTGTCCCCAAGTCACCTCCATTGGGACTATTATCGCCTGCGTCAATTTTGGAAGTTTTTTTGAGTCTTTGATCAGTAATGCGATGTTTCAAGACGACGGGTCTTTGTACGTAACATCCTCTCCTTTCCAGTTCTGTTCCATGATGTCACTTTCGCCAGGTTTTGGGTCACCGCATTCATTGCCAAAGGAACTAAAATCCAAGGAACGGGGCTTGTACTTGATACATTTGTTGCTAGCTTGCGTGAATCACGTCGCCAACGGTAACCTTGAGAATGCAGACATTGCCCTCGAGCAAATCTCTCGGCTCACGTCTCTCGATGGGGATACTATGCAATGGATCGCGGCATACTACATGGAGGCGCTCGTTGACCGGATACTCAAGGCATGGCCTGGCCTTCATAAGGCACTTAATTCTACTAAAACGTTATTGCTGCCTGAAGAGCTTCTTGTCCGCAAGCTGTTCTTTGAGCTGTTTCCATTCTTGAAGTCGGCATTTGTGCTCCCAAATCAAGCTATAATGGAAGCTACGGAGTTGGAGTAGAAGGTTCATATTATTGATCTCAATGCAGCTGAACCCACACAGTGGATTGCGCTGCTTCAAGCTTAGAATGCACGGCCTGAAGAGCCGCCCGTTCTCAGGATTACAGGGATTCATCAGCACAAAGAGGTCTTAGATCTTGTGGTCCGCAGATTGACTGAAGAAGCAGAAAGATTGGATATTCCATTTCAGTTTAATCCAATAGTTAGCAAATTAGAAAATCTTGAGTTTGAAAAGTTGCGTGTGAAGACTGGTGAGGCTCTGGCAATCGGCTCAGTTAGTCAGTTGCATATACTATCGGCCTTGGACGATGAACATCACCGGAAAAGATCGCCTCTTCCATTTAAGAAAAGTAATGGAACTAACTCACACAGTCTTACTGATGAGCCAAAACACGCTGGGTGAACTGCTTGAGAAAGACTTGGTAAATGGGAGTAGCCCAAGTACTGATTCAGCTGCATCGTCGCCGCTTTCTCTAAATGCTTCGGGCAAGATGGATAATCTCCTCAATGCTTTGTGGGGATTGTCCCCAGAAGTTATGGTAGTGACACAGCAAGACTCGAACCATAACGGATTCGCTCGCGGAAGCTTTGCACTCTTATGCTGCATTATTCGATTGTTTGGAGTATATGGTGTTGAGGACATCTTTCGAGAGATTGAAGGTGGAGAAAATGCTATTTAAGGAAGAAACCAAGAAAATTATATCATTCGAGGGAGCCGTAACGAAGGAACGACACGAGAAGCTCGAGAAGGGGATCCAGAGGCTTGACTTGGCTGGATTTGGGAATGTGCCGTTGAGCTACTAACGGGAGGTTGCAGGTGAGAAGGTTGATGCAGGGATACAATTGTGATGCCTGTAAGATCGAAGAAGAAAACGGATGCGTGATGATGTGCTGGCAAGATCGGCGTCTTTTCCCCGTGTCGGCTTGGATATGTCAAAAGTAAGATATTATATTTTGGCATTGCTTCATTGGCTCACAAGTGTGTCTAATCATTTGTAGGATCTGTATCTCCTGAAGAGTGGAACTAATAATTTTCAATCCGGATGATTGAACAGTGCACTCTTAGGCAAATAACAGTCGGTCTTTATACTCTTTCGAAACGGAAATGTCATTGTCAAGTTCGTGAATGTGCATTTAGATCGATCTGATTATGGTTACTGTTTCATCCCTCGAGTTGCAAACGTCGACGTCTTATCACATGCCGGAGGGTTTCGAGCCTGCATGATGATGACAAAGAAAGAAGGGTTGGGTTGATATTGATTCCTTGTCATGACTTCTTAATGGAATTAGCATTGTTCTTCTGGTTTTAATCAGTTAAGTCTGTTTTTCCTTGAGCTATTCAGAATTCTTGAAGGACTCCATTAGTTCATCAACGTTAAATGACCTGAGCCTACACCCAGAGAAATGGCCTAGAGGGTTTCAAGCGTGCTCATTAAGTTTCGAAAGTCGTTACGCACGCACGGCTCACGCAATGCTCATACCGAGATCAGAACTTCGTTCTTTCTGGTCTTTCTCAAGCTGTGAAGTACGACATTTGACATCAAGGTGTTAGTCGAGTCTGCAACAACCGGATCTCTGTATGAGCTACGAGATTCGAGATTAATGGTGCTTGTGATCAACAGGCGTTCACTGGCAGCGAACCCAATGATGTTTCTTTCTTCCCAGAAACAAAAAATGAAATCCCACGATGCTTTTAATCCCCAAAGCTATTATGGGCTTTGCGTGGATCTTATGAAGCTTACACTGCATCAAATTCGTCCCCAAGACTTCGCGACGTCACAGCATGATCAAATGCCTCTCGACCTGTTTCATCTTAAAAGTAAGCTGATACTGCAGTTCATGCAAAAACAAGAGAAGGGTTTGAACTCTTCAGCAGTCTCTTGAAAGGCAATGCACGACATTGCAGAATGATTCGAACATAAGTGCAAGACAAGATTCAGGAACCAGGATGGAACCAAGTGAAGCAGATGATGCTCAGTGCTTTGGTTGGTGGTACACAAAATCCGTTTCTCTGGCGAGAGGCATCAAGCACAGGTATCAACAACAGCCGCAAAATGAAGAGGATGAAGATCAGTCGAATCAACACAAGCCAATTAACAGAACAGACAGACAAAACTCCACCGGAATCTCGGCACAATCTCACGCCATCACGAGCTCTCAAGCAGACACATCGGAGATGTCAATAGTTTCAATGCGCTCGTTCTCGGGCAAAACTGACCAATTCGGAGACTGTGCGGCCCTCAACCACTTGAAATCGTCGACCTTGGACCAATTCCCGGTTTCTTCGCCGAGCGCGGCGTCCTCAAGATCCCGCTCGATTCCCCGGTAATGGAGACGACACGGCGCGAACCTCACTCCCGAGCAATCCTCGATGATGGGTCTGCTCCTCACCCTCAAGTAGAAATCGCTCGCATTGGCGTTGTGAATCCTTATCTGGTGCGACGCCAGCACGAACACGCAATCCTCCGCCTCCTCGATCAGGACTGATCCGGTCACGGGCCCAGCGTAGACCCTGCAGTTCCTCAACCTGTGCACGAACAGCGCCCTCGCGCACCCGATCAGCCTCACCTCGCACGACTCCAGATCCGACAGCGTGAACTCGCCGATCTCCAGTCCCCTCACGTCCTTCGCCAGAACCTCATTTGCCCTGTTCCTAAAACCCGGCGAATCGGGCACGGCGACCGCCAAGCTCCCGGCTTTCGCGGCTGGCCTCGAATCGCGAGTTTCCGCTTCGGCTCCCTTCAACGAGGACGCGGTCGGTTCCTTCCTTGCGGGCTTGTTCTTGAAAGAGAACTTCTTCTTGGGGATCAGCTCGGAGCTCAGGTTGTCGAGGGCCTGCTTCAGATCGGAGATGGTCTTCAGAGAGGACCGGACCTCGTAGGAGGGCAGGTAGTAGGAGCTCTCCGCGACGAGCTTCTCGAGGTCGGCGATGGAGGCGGAGATCTCGTCGAAACTGGGCTTGAGCAGGGACGGGTCGGCGAGCCGGCACCGGGCGAGGCGGGACTCGATGGACCTCCTGGACTCGCCGAAGAGGGAAAGGAAGGACGAGGTGGACTCGAAGGAGGCGGCGGAGGCGGGCGGCGAGGGGCCGGGCACGTCGGGGCGAGGCTGGTGGCGGTTCGAGAGGCGCTCGAGCATCGCTAGATGCTTCTTGCGCAGTGCGGAGACGTCGGCGGAGTCGGATCCATCTGCTGCTGCTCCTCCTTCAGTTTCCATCGCCGGAAGCAGAGCGAGCCGGGAGATGCACGAAGCCGATTCGAAGGAGGAAGACGACCCGACCGCCTCGCGAGTTTGGGCTCCTGTTCTTTCGTTCTCAGAATTTCAAAGCTTTGAGTTTAATCCGAATTGCTTGATAATTCTCCTATTATATGGAAAAAGAAAAACGTGAACTTTTTTTTTTCTTTTTAGTAATATTAATTAATCCTGAGAATAAAAGTACAGGCGACATCGAAGAGCAAATTCAATAATTCCGTCATTTCTTTAATTAATTGAACTTTCAAGCCTCTGAATGCATCGAAATACGGATTTTTCCCATCAGATGGCTGTTTTCTCGTCAACTCCATCATCGTTATCAATACATTAAGATTAGCGTAAATCGTGTAGTTAACATACAACTATGCCGCAAATGAAAAACAAAAAAATCTAGTAAATTGTATGGATATGGGAGTGTCAACAATCAATGTCTAATGCACCGATAGCATAGCCAGGGATAATAAAAGTTAAAGGCGAATTTTGATGAGTGACCAAGCCAAAATCGAGTCAATACCTGTCAAACGAATGGATCAGATCAAGTTTGAGCGGGTAAAAACTTCGTGACACCAAGGCTAAGGAAATGAAAGAACAAGCATAAATGCCGACAACAAAGAGCTTTCAAATCAGTCACCACGTCGTCGCGGACAATTGCCGCCAAGAGCCGTTGCTGTCGCGCCTCCATCCGATGATACCAACCCCTTTGCTCTCTCGATTCATGTGGCACGTCTCTATCTATTTCTCTATGCTAAGGTCGCAACTCGTTTTGGGTGTGGTGGTTGGGTTGTGAATTACAATTTGTGTGGTGACCCAAGTGAGTATGCGTGGTTCGACTCCACTCATCCAATTCAAAGTGCCCATGGGCAATTGGTAAAATTCGGACCTAAATGGATTCTCTAGAAACTCATTAAGACTCAATTTGACCGACTTTAATTTTTTAAACCCATTTTCACATTACCTTTTACATATATAGAATTCAGTCCTAAAAGTACAAGTCAGAGAATGGATATATGACTCATTTTGACACTTCTAGACATAAGAGACCAATAATGAATTTAACTGTAAACATAAAATGTTATAAATCCAAAGTATGCGAAGTCTTATACGTAATTCATAAGAACTCTCTATTATCAGTTAGATTACGAAAGATGATTGACTTATGACATACTACAATGAATATTTCTTCTTATTTTTGCAAGGCATTAGAGGAAAGATATACATTTTCAACCTTGTAAAACCTTATTATTTTATGGATTTTAAACACAATCATATCTTGCACCAAAAAATCGAAAAGAGAAAAACAAAAATGAATAGGCTATGTTACTTTGGGCCTGAAAAGTCCAACCATTACCATAAGGATAGTGGAAGACGAAGATAGAAAGTAGTGCCATCGTACCGAAGTAGCTTCATTGGATTAAATGGGTTTAAATTGGTTTTTTTTAGCCCATTATAGCCCATTATTAATTGGGCTTTCCTCTATTAGACCCATTGCAAGTTAGCCAATCCATATACCATCGAACTTATTAATTATGATTTAAAATATAGTCATTGACCCATTTCGCCACCTCTACTCCATGGAAGGTTTGGACCTAAGAAACCTTATCTAAGTTTATATTAAGGGCCTAAAAGGATTACTAATAACAATCAATTGTGTTTGGGAAGGCCACGAGGATCATGCGGGTCTATTAACTTGAAACGTCTGACCCTAGAAACATTATGCCTATGAAACCATGATGCCAAGTTGCAAATAATAATGATTAAACCTATGTAATCCTGTTTTGACTTATATATGAACGGGAATGCTTCAAAATTCGAAAATAGTTTGATCTTTTGCTTTGCATCCTCATTTATAAAGTGACTTGGAAGGAATTATTTACAATATATGCGTTTACATTTATTGGATTTTCTCATCCTGTAATGAAATGTAATAATTAGTTATAAAGAAGATGATTTGCACAAATACTACTACAAACTACAGACAACAAAAATGCAATGACGTGTGGCAAATAGTGGCTAGATTTGATCATAAATTCCGGCAAGAAAGTAATTTCGTACTATTGGGATTTTTACGGGCGAATTCCCTAAAAAACTTCCAACTTTAGGTTAAGTCCCAAATCTACCCCGAACTTTTTTTTGCCTCAGGAAAAATCCCAAACTTTAGGTCCAGTCTCAAATCTGCCTCAAACTTTTTTTTGTCTTAGAAAAAACCCCAAACTTTAAGTCCAGTCGCAAATTTGCCCCAAATTTTGTTTTGTGTAAAAAAAAATCACCAAAATTCAATTTATTTAAAAAAATATACCCCCGTGATCCAATCCCAACTTAACGTGGTACTTTCATGTCGACAAAAAATCCACATTAGAAAAGTAATGAGGCGATAGGTACAGGCTGATGTCGCATTCCACTTCGATAACAAATCCAACCCAATAAAAATTGTTGAAATTCTCCAAAATAAAATCGTTCTAGGATATGAAAGTTAGGGATGATAACAAATCCACCACAAATTTTTTTTTTTAATTTAAAAAAATTGAATTTTTAGGTTCAGTCCAAATTTACCCCGAACTTTTCTTTGTCTAAAAAAGCCCTATTACTTTGTTGATGTGGATTTGTTATCGACGTGGAAGTGTCACATCAAGTTGGGATTGAATTACGGGGTATATTTTTGAAAATAAATTGAATTTTGGTGATTTTTTTTACACAAAACAAAATTCGGGACATATTCGGGACTGGACTTAAAGTTTGGAATTTTTTCTGAGACAAAAAAAAGTTCGGGGCAGATTTGGGACTGGACCTAAAGTTTGGGGTTTTTCCTGAGACAAAAAAAAGTTCGGGGCAGATTTGGGACTTAACCTAAAATTTGAGATTTTTTAGGGAATTGGGCCGATTTTTACTTTTGGAAACTAAAATTTATGCCAAAAAAAATCAAAATTCTGGTTTTAATTGGAGAAATTAAGGTGGCCACTCCAAAAAATGTTACATTGTCGTCTGGCCTAAATTTCTTTTTATAAATATAGTTGTGCTTATCCAGACCGCAATGATTATTTGGGCCTACTTACTTAAAAAGAATGCAGGCAAGCCTAGAAATATCGAGCCGTTAGTCCCCTGAATCCACGAGGCCAAATTGTTAGTAACATCTAATTTATAAGAAAATTATGGAGAAACAACATTTTACTAGAAAATTGAATAATAAATCTCTAGAACATGTACCATTTCGATAACTTAATGTGCCCTAATTGCTGCTACAATCCGTAATTCATTACTATATCAAATAGGATTCTCTCTTAAGCAAAGGCAAGTTGAATGACAATTACTATAAACGATCCATGCGATGAGGACACAACATGTGTGTTCTTTCCATGGAGCGAACTTTTGGCCAGATTTGGTGATAAATTCGGGCCTGAGTTTGAAATTATGCCCTTTCCATTATTTAGATACCGTAGATGGCTAGGTCTTTTCAAATAATCCATAATTCATTTCTGTATCAGAAATGTTTCTCTCTTAAGCAAAAGCAAGTTGAATAAGAATTACTATAAAAGCTCCCCACAATGAGGACTCGACGCGTGTGTTCTTTCCATGGAGTAAAGTTTTGACTAGATTTGATCATTAATTCGAGCTTGAATTTGAAATTATGCACTTTCCATTATTTAGATACCGTGGACGGCTAGGTATTTTCGAAGAAGTAAGATAAAATCAATAGAAAAATCCAAAAGATTGGTTTTAATTCCATAACATCAAAATGTTGGAAAAGAATTGAGTAAATGTTTTCACTTAAATGTGAAGGAGAATTTTTTGAAATTTGAAAATATATTGATTTTTTGCGTTGCATCCTCATTTATAAAGTGACTTGGAGGAAATTATTTACATTATATATATATCTTGGATTTTCTTATTAATATGTATTGTGATGATATCATTGAAATGTAATAAATAGTGATAGCGAAGATAGCTTGCACGAATACTACTATAAACTGCACACAACAAATATGTAACACACGTGTTGAGTGAAATGTATATGTGAGTTGTGTAAGACTAGTCTCACATCAGAGAATTGATATGGTATTGAGTAGTTAATATATCTAAGTTGGCCTATAGCTTATTGGCTACTTGCTCGTTGAGTGAAAGTGGGTCAAACTTGATATGTTGACGGGTTCAGATTTTGGCTCTCTCTTGGCGATATCACGAGATGAAGGTATCGGGTATCTGTTCTGGAGTTGATAGTTGATTGATGTAGAAACGCGGGCTTGATGGCAGACTTCATAGTTCGGTATGTGTTTTTGAGTGAATGTGGGTCTAATTTGATACGTTAACGGGCTCGAACTTGGGGGTGTAGCAACACAGCCCGATGGCAGACCTCATAGTAGACCAGATTCATCTATCTTTCTCCGGGTGTTCACCCTACCTTTTAGCCTGTGAAATGAAAGCAGTCTAGCGAAGCCTTGAAGTCACTTTACTCTCTTGATCCGAATCCCTTTCTGGTGACATGAAAATTCCACTGCGCTTAACACTTGGAGTTCGAAGTGGGATAGAGATAATGAGCTCTTTAAAGCCCTACATTAGACAATTAGTGTATATCTAAGTTGGCCTATAACTCATTGGTTTAAGCTTTTAAGTGAAAGTGAGTCAAACTTGATATATTAACGGGCTCAGACTTGGACTCTCTCTTGGCGATCTCCCCGGATAAATGTATTAGGTTTTTGCTGCGCGCTCACAACAGCATGCCGCGTGTGTGTTTTCCTTGGAGCGAGCTTTTGGCCAAATTTGGTCATAATTTCGAGCCTGAGTTTGAAATTATGCACTTGCCATTATTTAGATATCACAGACGGCTAGGTCTTTTCAAATAATCCATAATTCATTACTGTATTAGATATGTTTTTCTCTTAAGCAAAAGCAAGTTGAATAATAACTACTATAAAAGCTCCCCGCAATGAGGATGCGACGCGTGTGTTCTTTCCATGGACCGAACTTTTGACTGGATTTGGTCATAAATTTGAGCCTAAGTTTGAAATTATGCACTTTCCATTATTTAGATACTGTAGTCGGCTAGCTCTTTTCAAATAATCCATAATTCATTACTGTATCATATATGTTTCTCT